GCAGCTCTCGGCAGACTGCCAGCCGGCCGAGATGTCCCTGGAGAAGGGGAGGAGGAGTTGGTGGCAGTGCAGAAGACAGGAGCCCTGGCACCGCCCCACCACGCTGGCGGTTCTGCTCTCGCTGGCCCGGACGGGGCCCCTGGAGGACACAGCCCACAGGGCCCTGGTGCCCCCGGGACACCGCCTTTCTAAGAATACGCTTCCCAGCCAACCAAACCCCACGGGCAGCAAGTCGGCCCCGACTTGTGGTGACCCTGTGTGTCAGATCATCACTGCACCTCCGGGGCTCCCGGGGCTGCTTCCGGGGAAGTGGCTCTCCAGGCCTTCCTTCTGTGGCACATCGGGCGGACGGGACCCTCCAAGCTCTCGGGGAGCAGCCTCTATCCTGGTTCCCCGGCTCGGCAGCAGGCTGGCTGGCTGGAGCTAGTCCTGGAGGCCCACGGCATGCTGGGTAGCGACGCCTTCAGAAGCAGGGGTGCCCCAGACAGATGAGTCGGAGGAAGCGGGCTCTAGAATGAGCCAGGTAAAGGATGGAAGCCCCTGGCTCTCGCCGGCCACCTGGGGCTGCCTTCTGTTATCAGGTCTACACCCCCCCAGTGTCATACAATGGCAGGGTCGCCTGCCCCTGGCTGGGTGTCACCCATGGGGGCTGCTGGAAGCGACGGGAACTGGAAATACCAGCAGGGTCACCAGGGTGGACGGGTTTGCGCACTCCGGGTGGCAGCGTGCCCTGGCCCGGAAGGAGTGCCGCCATGAGGCGGAGCCTGGGCCTGGTGCTTGTCAGTCACCTTGCCTCGCTGCCGCCCGCCGGCTGGCTCCACCACTGGATGTGCCCGATGTTCTGAGGCTACTAGCAAACCAGACCTCCCGCCCCCCAGGAAGGCCATTGTGATGGAACATTTCAGTGTGTGTGTGTGGGGGGGGTGGGTGGGGGGAGCGTCCAGCAAACCTGGAAGGCGACTCCCCCCTGTATTTCAGGGTGACCTCTAGGAGCACAAACAGTCAAGTGCTCAACTGCTGGGGGGCAGTGGTCCCAGTGCACCCGAGGCCCCCTGGAGGAGAGCCTGCTGATCTGCTTCTGAAAGGTCCCGGCTGGGACCCTGTGTTCCCGCCTGAGACCCTGTTTCTTGTCTGCACACCTGGGATGCTGAGAGTCAGGGTCCACCTGACAGCAATCCACCACAAGTCTGTCTCGGTGGGTTCCGAATACTGCAGAGGGAGGGAGACAGAAAGGCAGGGGTTGGGGGGTGGCGTGGGATAAGTAAGTTCAGAAGCAAAGAAAACAGTTCAAAAGGCGGTTCAGAAGGAAATCGTTTCGGGAAGAAAGCAGGGAGTGAGGAAGGGCAGGAGGAAGGAAGGGAAGTAGGATGTAGAGGAGGACGTTAGGAAGGAGGGACAGATGGACAGGAGAAAAGCAGTCCTGTCAGCCGTGGATGATGCCGGGTCCCCGTGTAAGGGGCATCCTCCCCACATCCCTGAGGATGGAACCCCTGTGGATCAGGTCTCTGTCCTAGCCCAGGGCCAGCCCTTTGAGCTGGAGAGAGAGCAGATCAGACAAAGAATCAGGGGCAGGGGTTGGGAGCCATGTGGGAATCGCCGGAAAGCCCCTTCTCTGGTGCTCACAGACTGCCCAGCAGGGTCCAGAGGGGATCCCGGCAGAGGGAGGGGGGTGACAGCCCCCCCACCCCACCCCCCAGATGATTGAAGGTGCACAAGAGAGCGGGTAAAGCTCTCTGGCCACCCAAGGCCTCCATCCATCCATCCATCCATCCCGTGTAGCTGGAGAGCCGACAGCGAGTCTTGTCTGCAGACGGATTTATGGAGTGGCTGCCCGGACACCTGGGGCTCCCTCCCTCCCCCATTTCCATGCAGACACATGCTGTGGGACTTTAGGCTGCGGCCTATCCAGATGAGCACTGACCGGGGAACCGCTGCGTCTGGCTGATGGCAAGGCCAGCGCATGGGGCTGGCCTCCCAGGGTATCCTCATGAGTCCCCCCACCCCAAGGGGTGAGCCGAAACAGACAGCCTCAGTGGGGCCCCGTCAATAGCCCCCTTTCTAAGCGAGATCATGGGTCATTTTCCCCCCAAGTCTGTGGTGACTAAAGTCCCCCGCTTCCCTTCCTGCCACGTTCTAGCCCACTGGGTTGTACCCGGGATCGGTCAACACTTGGGGCATTGTGACTGTGCTGCGGAAGGAGAGGCCTGTCCCTGGTGTGTGTGTGTGTGTGGTGGGCATCTTTGCAAGGCTCTTTTAAAGTTGGGGAGCAAAGAGGCACAGTCCCACACTCGCTGGAAATGGCAGGGAGAGGCACAGACTGGAGTGGACAGGCGTGGAGGGTTCTTCCAGGAGTCCTGGGTCACAGAGTTAAGCGCTGATTACCAGCCGGAAGGTCGGCAGGTCGAACCCACACACAGGCCCCTCAGAAGACAGGGCTGGCTGTCTGCTTCTGCAAGGTCGCAGCCCCTGGCAGTTCCTTTCTGCACATGGGGGTCCCCGGGAGTCAGAATGGTGCATGGTTGTGATGCAGCCACTAACGGACAGATCAGTGGTTCGAACCCACCAGCCAACCAATAGAGAAAGCTCAGAGGCTGCTTCCGCCAAGAGTCATATAGCCTCAGAAACCTCACGGAGCAGCTGCGGTCCCTCTGGCGGTGGCTGAGAGCATGAAGGCGCCAGGTGGCAGGGGGTGTGGTTTGTTTTTTGGGTGACAGGGCCCTCCCCCCAAAAAAAAACCCTATTGCTGGCAGGCCAGGCCAATTTACAGGGACCCTATAGGACAGGGTAGGGCGTCCCCTGTGGGTTTCTGAGGCTCTTAAGTTCTTACAGGGACAGAAAGCCTCATCTTTCTCCTGAGGATCGGCTAGTAGGTTTGAACCTCTGACCTAGGTAGCAGCCAGGCTTGTTCTGGATATGAGAACTGGGGTTCATGGGTTCCAGGCTGCGTCTGTGTGCGTGCTAAAGAGGGGACCATGGCCGTGTTATCACCAAGTGGGGCTGGGGACAGTCTGGGCAGCACGCTGCTGGCCTGGGCACCCAGACCCCTTATCTTGGGATCCTGGCACGCACCCTGGGCTGTCACTGTACCTGTATAGGGCACTTGCCCCTCGGGACAGCGCCCAGTGGCCCTGTGCACGCCAAAGAATCCCCTGCCCAGTCCTGTGCCAGCCCCGTGATCATGTGCTGATTTTCAAAAGCCTACTGCCAGGCCTTTCTTCCGAGTCACCCCAAATCTGGAAGCTCCTCTGATACCTGGTCAGCACCCCAGCAACGTGCTGGCCTCCCCCGACAGCCTGGTGGTGGCTGTGTGTGTGGTGCACTGGGCAGGAACCGAACCTGAGTCTTCTATGTAGGAGGGAATTCTACCCCCACACGGGCCACGGCAGGTGCCCAGTCTGACTCACAACGACCCTCTTGGGTGGGTAGAACTGTCCCTGTGGGATTGTAAAGCGCGATGGGAGCAAACGGCATCATGGTTTACTCCCAAGGAGCACCTGGGTTTGAACCTCTGGCCTTGCTGTCAGCTGATGGTGCTTAACACATTGCATCACCAGGGCTCCTTCGCAGAGAGGCACCGGTCAGGACCCTGCCATTTCTCCCCAGAGGAGCTCGTGAGCAGACTGACCTTAAGGAAGGAGCCTTCCTGGCCCCCAGACAACTGGCTGCAGACAGACTTGCTTCTGTGACACTTTCTCCCGAGTCCCCTGCCCCTCCGCTGCCAGGACCCTCCTGGAGATGCGGGGCAAATCTAACTCCGCCTTGGGGAGCACAGCTCCCGGGGACTGCCCTATATGCCCGTTTTCCTGCTGCCGGCCAGGGCCAGGGCCAGGCTCGGGAGTACCGATGGGCTTCCTCTTGTTTCCCACTCCAAGAGCAGCTTCTGGACCAGCCTTGCCTTCCTGGCCCAGGACACCGCTAATGACACGCTTGCTCTGTTTCTGGTTCGCATGGCTGCAATTTGGAAGCCGACGGACCTCAGAGATCTATTTAAAGGGTATTTTGAGATTATCGCCACCATAGGCTGTGGCCGAACCACTGGCCACAGACCACTCTCCCCTTCCTCCCACCCAGCGGGGGTGGGGTCGGGCCAGGAGGGAGCTCAGTGGGGCTGGAAAGAGGTATTCAGGGGACGGCAGACCATGACCAGCAGTCCTTCCGACCCCGTGTGTTACAGAGCAGACCTGATCTGGGGTCTCTGTGTCTAGGACCGGCCAGAAGTGGCACTTCTGGGCACCTTTCGGGGTGGGGTGTCTTGGGTGGGTGAGCCGCCCACCTTTCTGTGACTGGCCGAGTGCTCAGAGGTCTGTGCTACCGAGGGCCTGCATCCAGGGACGTCTGCTAGACGCTGTCGACCTGACTCCAACCCAGGACGAGCCCGTGCAGGTGACGGGGCTGCCATCGTGAAAGGCACGGGCCCGCCCTTTTTCTGCCAAACAGCCTACCTTTCAGTCAGCTGCTGCCTTCCTGACGACTACTCGGCGGGCAGCTAACCGCAAGGTCAGATGTTCAAAACCACCAGCTGCCACTTGAGAAAAGACGAAGCTCTGTGCTTCCGTGAAGAGTTAGTCCTTAGAGACCAGGGTCAAGAACAGCCAGCTACCACCTTTGTCACAGCGTCTGCATCGCTGTGCCGGTGACCTGCCTGCCGGCCTTCCTGCTGTCCCCTCCCCCGGCCCGTCTTTCCCACCTTCGCTGGATTGTGACGAAGGACCTTCAAAATAGCAGCTGACCCCGAGGGCCCTTCTGGCCACCCCTCACCCTCATCACCCAAGCATTAGCCCTCGCCCAGTGGGGTGCCTGCAAAACTGGGGCCAGCTGCTCCTGCACCAAGCCAACAATAAATCCCTCCCCGTCAGCCTGTCGGGTAATGGGCAGCACCCTGGCGATGGGTCCTGCTCCCAGAAGATGGCCTGAGACCAGCTGATGGTGTCCTAGTCACATAGGCCGCCCCCACCAGTCCCCAGGATCCGGTTGGTAGAGACCAAGCAGGGCTCTGGGGGGAAAGCTTCGTGACATTTTATTTCGAAAATATGGCAAGAGTCTAAGGCACTTCAAAAGTTTAAATACATAGGCAGGATCCAAGTGTGTGTGGGGAGGTGAGAGGAGCCCGTCAATACAGACAGGGACTCTGGGGTCCTGCGAGGCCGCGGGCCAGTTCTTCCAACACGGCCCAGCCTTCAGTGTCCCCATACCGGTGCTCCTGACGAGGCAGGGGTGGAAGTACCGGGGTCTCCATGACAGAAGACAGGCTGCAAATACTGTGGTGCCTCTGGAGAGGCTTGACGTCCAAGCCTCAGCCGACACCCACGGGGGAGCCCCCTGCCAGAGTGCCTTTGGGAGCTGTGGGCCTCTGAATGTTGCAGCTCTGTTCGAACCCCACCCCCAGGAGCACGGTGTGGACCTGACAGTCCACTGACCAGAGGAGCAGCCCCCTGGAGAGGGCCATTGGGAAGGGCTGCCAGCAGTTGCCCTGCTAGACGGTGCAACTACGGTGACCTGGGGGTCAGGGAAGCATGACCCCACAACATCGACATGCTCCAGAGGCCTGAGTCTCAGAGGGTCCTAAGCAGATGGAAGCCAGCCAGAGGGGGCCGGATGGTGGGTGCTGCCTCTGTCACTTCCTGTGGCCACAGCCAGGGCCTGTTGGTGAGCACGGGCCAGCTGGGTACATTCAGAATCTGTCACCGCGAACAGGCTCGTAGCAGCTTCGTGGCAGCATGGTGTGGTGGGCGAGGTCAGTCAGTGCCTGGTCAGTCAAAGGACGCACGGTGGGTGGGGCTTGGAGACATCTTCCTGCCAAGCCGGGGGGTGCTCTGGAGAGGATGGAAAACACGGGGTGGGTGGGCAGTGGGTCACCTCTGTCTCTATATCTATCTATCTCTATATATATATGGTAGGTGGTCTTGACTGCTGACCTGGTGGTAGCAGCCCAATGACTAACCACTAGGCTCTCAGGGCCCTGTGTGGAGCAGGTGGCTAATTAACATGTTCACTTGACACTGGTAGGCTGGAGGTTCTAGGCCACCCAGAGGGCTTCAGAAGAAAGGTCTGGCAACCCACTATCAACAGAAACAGCCACTGAGGACAGATGTACCAATGAGAAAAGATGATGTGCCACTAGGCCAAGTGAGTCCCTCCAATTACCACCCTGAGCAATCGAAAACCGTAAACCAAAAGTCCCCTATCCCCCCACACCCTTACAGCAAACCTCAGCTGAAGGAGAGGGGAGGCCGGCCTGCCCCAGCACCTCGCTCGAGGAAGGGATTCTCTCTCTGGGGCCACAAAGTGACCGCAGAAGGGGGGAAAGTGGGGTGGGGGTTTATGTGCATGGGGGAGGGGTGGCTCTAAGGAAACTGGGGACAGAAGCCTCCCAGGAAGCCCACCAGGGACCGGAACATGTAGAAACTGTTCCGCAGTGGGTGCAGTGTGTGCTGTCTAGGAAACCAGAGTGAGGGGCGAGGGGCGAAGAGTAAAGACAAAGTGCAAGGCTGCTGAAAGGGAGATACACAAGGCTGCCTACTCCCATAAAGACCCACAGCCTCGGAAACCCAGGGTTAGGTCTCCTCGGTCCTACAGGGAGGCAGCGAGGGCCCCCACCAGCCCTCAGTCCTGCATCTCTGCAGGCCGCAGGGCAGAGCCCACACAGAGGGTCTTGGGCACTCACCAAGCCCGTTCAAGGGCCAGTGGCAGCATGTTCCACACCTGACCAGAGCCCCCAGCGCCCAGGAAGAAACCAAACACACACAGTAGCTCCTGTCTTTGCCAGGGAAGGCCCGCCCGCCCCCGGGGCTGGTCACAAACATGCCGCTCTACCGGAGACTGGGCTTTGGCGAAGTTGACGTGGGCATAGAGGAGGACGGCGATGTCCTTGTGGCCCGCTTCCAGGGCGATGGAGAGGGCTGTGCTGCCGTCCTGGGGGCGAAAGCGGACAGGGTGGGATTAGAACACTCAACCCAACCCTCTCCGGCAGCTAATCAAGGAGCCACCTGCCATGAATCTGTCTGCACACTGCGTGGCCCTCTCCTACATGCTGGGTGTGAAAGGGTTAACGTGCTCGGTCTTGGACTGACAGGCATCCACCCAGGGACACTGCAGGAGGCCTGTCCATCTGCTCGTGAGAGAACCGTGGTGCCCACGCCCCTACCCTGCCTGTTTCACGGCCTTGCCGCCACCCCCCCCAGCCCCACCACTTTGGTCTTTAGGAGCAAACAGTCCGTCTGTGGTTCCAACCTGGGGATCCCCCTCCCACTTTGTGGGTGCTGGGAGTGGTTTTCAGGCTGGGCATGGGTGAAGGAAGCAGATAATGAGCAGACGCGGTCAGGAGCGGAGGTTGGGGGGCAGGGCGCACAGTCCGGGT